CTTCCACTCTGTTGGTTACAAGCTGGGTTGAATGTGTAAGATATTCCACAAATCTATTTATCTTGCATGAACAGGAACCCAGATGAGGGCACAAGGTGTGATTTGAAAGGTGTGATTTGATGTTGATGCAGGTTCTTTCCTGGTTTACCAGGTACCCACAGTTGAAATGGATGTATTTTGGTTGAACTGCCTCGGAAGAGCTGGGCAATAAGGATGAGGGATGCTTCAGAATTTGAGTTTATACAGAAGGTTTGGTGGGGTGGTTTTGAGACATCTACTGGGAATCTACACAACACTGAACAGGCGCATGTTCTTTATCGAATGATCTAACATGGAGGCCTCCGCAGTGAGTAGCCCTGGAGCCTGTACAAAGGAAAGTTATGGTGAGTAACAACAATCATTTGCCAACTGGCCACCAAGGAGTGCACTGCTTGCCAAATTCCATAGAGAGTGGCCGAGTTCCAGTTCCCTTGTTCCCTCTATTCATTTGTCATATTTAATGTGTTGGTCAGTTTGGCCACATAGTTCTTTCTATCTACTGCTCGTCTTGTAGCTTGTAATATGTATGTGCATCTTTCATCCAACCCAGAAAATACCAGAATGCTCGGCAGCCTCTGCTCGCTTCTACTGTTCGGCCAATTTGTCTTCATTTGACCTGTTCCCAGGGCAGTAGAGGCAATAATCATGTTTGCAATTTCATAGCATAGCAAGAAGCCAGGGGAGTCGAATTCCGGAGTGTGTGGTGGGCTCCGCTTCTGTCCTTGGGTTCAGTGAATTTTGCTTCTTGAGGGTTTATCTAACCTGTTGGTGGCCTGTACATGAAAATATTGACATTTGGACTTTTGCAGAGAACCTGGGAGGCCCAGAGGAGCAGGAAACTAGAATGCACGGTAGCCTCCGCTCCCTGTCTATGTTCAGCCAATTTCTCTTCTGCATGGTTGATTTGCCCTTTTCCTGGGTCAGTATAGGGAAATTTCTCGTTCTCAAATTTTATAGTGCACTGAAGAGCTAAGGGAGCTGAATGCCAGACCGTGTGGTGGGCTCCACTTCTGTTTTTGGTTCAGTTGATTTTGCTTCTGCAGGATTTATTTGACCTGTCTGGGGACCATACATAAGAATATTCACATTTAGACTTTGATCCAGAACCTGAGGACCCATGGGGAGCAGGATACTACAATGTGCAGTGGCTTCCGCAGCCTTTTTCTGTTCAGCCAATTTTGCTTCTACATATCTGATTTGAACTATTTCTAGGTTAGTAAAGGCAATATCTTCATTTCAAGCATTAAAACCCACCAAAAGATCAGAGGTAGCCAAATGCTGGAATGCATGGTGGGCTCCATTTTGTTTTTCTGTTTGGTCAATTTATGGTTCCACATGTTCAATCCAAGATGTCTATGATTTGATTGATCAGTCTACTCGTCCAAATTTTTCAATAGCCTGCCCAGTTGATTCTACATGCAATGGGTAATATTTGATAATCACCATGGAGGCCACCAGTATGGGCTACCGCGGCAGGTATAATACACGTGAACAGCTATTAATAGACCTACTGCGGTGGGGGTACCTCTTAGGTGGGTTTCTGCCATACAAAATAACCCACCTAAGAGGTCCCTCACGTGACCTCCACGGAGGGTCCTGAGGTGGCAGCACTTTGGCTGTGTCTTGCAGTCTTGTTGGGTCTTGTGAGGTCTTGTACAAGATCACAAGATTTTTGTCAAAAGTCTGATGTGACGAGGTAGTGAGAGTGGGCATATTGGTCGGTCAAGAGATTCGTGAGCGCGAGACCCATCCCACAGCTATTTATTCTGCTTGAACCCATGATCAGATGATTGTCAAGTGAAGAATCCTTGCAATGCATAGAAAAAATATAGGATTGACGCCAATTGGCCAGCCGACTCAATGGCGTTCAAGTTTGTAGCACGGGAATGCCGGGCCCACTAATCGCTCGTGAACGAACTGAGTGCATTGAGCGCGAGACGTGTTCACCGTGGTCGTCGAAGACAGGATATCACCGGTAGATATCATACACAGCCCAGAGACGCAGAGTCCAGAGTAGAGCTTCAGTCGCTTGCAGTGCAAGCTGTACAAGACACAGCCGGGATTTGATGCTGTATATGTGCAGATGAGATTGGTACAATCTCGTCACCACAGCTGGCACTTATTCCATTTTGAGATCACATTCATTGCGCCTCGAAGCTGTTGCGCCGTTGCGGGGATTTTACTGGAGCAGCAACAAAACATCTATAAAAAAAACCTCGTATTTGACACCAGTCCGTTACCAGAAGAGACTCCACTTCCTCCTCCTCGGGAGGCCGAAACTTGCTAACTCCAAGTTTTGAAACCGCGACACAACGGCCCTCCCCAACTCGCCGGTGTTCCTCAATCGCACAGAAGACGATGGAGGACCGGTCATCGACGCCTTCATCTGCGGGACTCTTGTCTCGCGGCCGACCATCACAGCGCGAAAGATCGCTGTATCGCGTGAAGAGTAAGATTCCAGCGAGTCTGCCGCATGGGCGTCGACACAGCAGGTAAGCCGGCCGGGGTACCCGCACGTGGGACGCGACGCGCGAGAAGGCCATCCAAATCATACCCGAGTTGAGGGATACGCCAGGCGAAGGGGAAGATGCATATGGCCGGTGAAAAAAATCGCGCTGGTAGATCGACGACGTGCATGGACAGATACCGCGGCAGGGTATAGCACTGTTACACACGAGTCGCACTCGTTCGCGCACGGGGCGGGCAGAACTCCAAGTACTTCCTCCTTCTCCTGTCGCGCGTCATCGCCAGCGCCGTGTACCCACCGTATGCATGGGCGTGACATGTGCCATGTATCGGCACCCGAGCAAGGACCAGCGCGCAGCATGAACAACTTCGTCTTGTGGCCTGGCTCTGCCGCAGACGCCGACGCCGACGCGATGCAGTGGGCTCGTCCCACAGCGAGCACGCTCGCCAGTCCCTCGTCTGAGCTCCAAGCCTCTCTCACTCTGGCCTCCCTCTCTCCCCTTTCGCCTCGCAACCGCTCTTCAGCCGAAAAAACGAGAACGAGACCGAAGCTTCCCCACCGGCGGGCGACAGAGCGGCGCGGGCGCGCGAAGAGCGGGTGTACGTCTTTTCAGCACAAGATCGTACGAATCAGCCGTAGCCCGCCCCATGCATCGGACCGCAACGGGGATCTTGTGGCTTAGCTCTGCTGCCGACGCGACGCGGCGTGGAGAGCCCATCCCACTCAACCCTCCCCCCCCCTCCCTCGCCTCCTCTCAGCGCCCCACTCCCGGTCTTGTCTTGTCTCCTCTCCTCGATGCTTCTCAGTATCCCCCTCGCCGGCTCCCCCGCCGTTCTCTCGTGTCGCACTGGGCAAAAGCTTCCTTCCTCCGCGCCGCGTCGTCTCGTCCCCGGACACACGAAGAGCGTGCGCGCCAGCGAAGCGCGCCTTTCCACCATGACAAACGTTGCCCTCCCCGTGTATGAGAACCGGAGCGAAAAGCCGCACATCTGCCGAACACCTCCGCCGCGGCTGTGGGGCATGGCTCTGGACGCAACGCCACGTAGTCATCCCTCCCCTCCCGTCTCCCGTCTCCCCCTTTCCGTCTCAGCATCTCCCGCTCCCCCTCCCGCTCTCGTTATCTCCTCTCGTTCTCTCGTTCTCTTCTCCACTGCCCCGCATCGCCTCCTCGCTCCCCGTCCCCGTCCCCGTCCCCACAAATCAAAATCAAAACAAGACAGAAAGAAAAACGAGTCGAGGAAATTGGTGTAAGACAGAGCTCCGCCTCTGAGGGCAAGAGCGCAGGACGTGAGAGACGATTCCCGCCTCGCGTCGTCTCCCGAGGCGGGAATCGTCTCTCGCGTCGCATCGCGTGGCCTCCCTCCCCCATGTATGCAGCGGTTTAAGGTCGACGTCGGCTCTCAGCATCTGTGTGTCGAAAATTTATATTAGCGTAGGCACGTAGAAGGGTTGAGGAGAAAAAGAAGAAATCCGGATCGCGCCCTTCCTCTACTCCACTCTCCCGCTCCAGAGACAGGGTGCGGCACCTCTTGTGCTCTTGGATGGGAAACAAAGAGGAGAGGAAACGCGCAACACGCTCGCGGTTAGCGGCGGCGCGGACAAGCGCATACGAGACATTAAAGTAAAGGGAGAAGAAACGCGCTCGAATGCACACATGCCCCTCCAGATCCCACGTAGTGTAGACGTAAGGTTGAGGCGGAGGCGACGTCGTCGTCGGCATACGGGTCCCATCGTCCATGCTCAAGCCGATCGCCGCGAAATAAAGCCCATCAGGTGCACTATTCACTTGAATTCCCGGCGAAGGATCGCAACTCCCGAGTGATGATTCCAAGCAAAGAAACATGCGCACCATTCATGTCTTCAAACACGCCCCGCTCAGATTGACACCCCTCAGCTGGCACATGCGCCCCCCCACGCATCCGCGAAGTGTCGTCCCGGTGGGCGCAGCCACTGCTTTTCTCGGACCAATCGTGTGCGTAGCTCGTGTCTAGGGTGGTTCCAGGGATGTATTCGGGGTGCGTTTAAAGATGCCCGCTGACGACCATGCTTCAGATCTCGACTTTTTGAGGGATCGGAGCGCATTGGGTGGCGTTGTTTGAATCGGCTGGAGCGGACAAATAAAACAACCACCTGAGGCTCAATTTGGTAGTTTCTGAGGACTGTGATGTTTGGGAGTTTTGAAGCTGGGATTATGTTGAAAATCAATGCTCCATGGTCTCAGTTCATAATGAAAATTTCCTGATTGCCCAACAAGCCGACAGTGAGCGCGTCCTCTGTGAGCAACGTATGACGCTTCATGAATTCACAAAATAATCATAATAAATGAGTCTTCAAATCCAGAGCCTGCACGGTTACATTATGTTTATATACGCGAGTGGTAGAATTACAACTCGATGCGCAGTTGAAACTTGCCCTACTGATTAATAATGTAGTACTGGCTCCACATTCGCCTTTTCTTCCATAGGTTCAGCAAAGAAGAGAGCCAACCATGAAAGCGGGTGTGGTGGGCGGCCACAGCTGCCCTCAATTCCAACTGAGTGCGGTCAATTGAACTTTGAAGCAGTCAAATCGGGTTCGACTCCCGGCACCCGCGTAGCGTGACACCTTGGATTTTTTTGGCCCACGGTATGGTTCTACAACAATTACGATTTAAGTAAAGTTCGGTAATGAAATGAATGAACGGTGAAGTCAGGCAAGGTCGAACTCGGATATTTGTTCCAACGAATTTTGCTCTTGTTTTATGCACTTGAAAGTCACCGGTTCAATGAACCCACAGTCTTTCTCTATAAAAGTGAGTGTGGTGAAGTGTTCACGGTTACCCTGACTCGGTGCTAATACAGCAGCAGATCCAGGTTCGACTCCCGGCATCCACGTGGCGAGACCCGTGTATTTTTGGCGAAGGGAATGGGAAATTGGGGTGTTTAGGATTGAATTTGCGAAGTTGAGAAATGAAGTAAACACGCATACGAGGATGGACTAGGTTGAACTTGTGGGTTCAATCAGCTTACCATCAGGGTGGTTTTTGTTTAATCGCTGATTCAGTTGGCAGAGTACAGCAACAATGCTATAAAAGCGCGTGTTGTGAAGGGTTCACAGCGCTCGCTCCAACTTCAAAAAGTTCTCTTGAACTTTGAAACAGCAGAACAGGCTTCGACTGCTAATGGGTTTCCAGAGTCCGGCTGAATTACGGGCACCTCATCGGAATAAGTGAGTCCTTTCCTGCCTTTCATCATCCTCTGTGGCTTACTAGCGTTCGAGCCATTCTATTCACCGACCGTTGGGGTGGTGGTGGCTGGCGCCGATCAGTGGCAGTGCGGCCTGTTTGGGGTAGATAGGCAGCGTGTTGTAGTAGAAGGGATCAGTTCTTGCCGCTTGCACTCATCCACGGAGATCCTCTGGCACCGCTCCTCCTCTGATCTTGGCGGCGCTGAGTCCATTGTGGTGATCAGAGTGCAATTCGCTCCCACGCTTCCCCGATCGGCCAGATTTTGCCTTGATCGCTGTGTACGGCCGTTCTACGGTTCTTCATCCTTGGCTCTGGAACTTTCTGTGGTGACGCCACTGCGACCGACCGACCAAACGAACGAATGAACAAGATACAGTCTGGCGCGAGATCTACGTCCTAGGGTTCACCGGCCAGATTACGCTGACACGCACAGACGCAGACGAAACAGCGTCCCCGATACACAAGACGAGCACGAAGCTGCGCAGACGACATCCCCACCCCTTGCGGTATCTACACCCCAGAACCCAAGAGGCCGTCCCGCAGTGATAACGCCCCTGGGAAGGTTACCGCTCATCGGTGACTCCATTAACCCTGCCCATTTCTACCGAGCGCCACCACCGCGCATGCGCCGTGCCGTGTTGTTGGAATCTTCAGTGCTTTCTTCACCACCTACACCAACTTTGACACTGCTGGCCCCGGCGCAGACACTATTAGCCCCGGCAGCAATCATCACCCCGAAAAAGCAGAAATCGAAAATCACGTGAACTACCACTACGAAACAACCAGAAATGAGCATAGGACCTATGTTCACGGGCGCGGGGGCTACCTCCGTCACGGCGAGGGATTTCTTGAAAGACGTCAACTTGGTGTATGAAACACAGGGCCTCACGGACAGCGCGGCGAAGCTCAAAGATGTCTCTCATCGATTTCGAGCGGGTTCGCCGGCAGACACGTGGTTCCAGAGTATGACATTTGCAGATTGGAATGCGTTTGTTGCTGCGTTCAAAAAGTGTTTCGCTGGTATCGAACCCGAAGTGAAACCTCGCGCTCAGCGTCTCGCTGAGCTGTTGAGTATGCGAATCACGCTGGGTGAGATGGCCGCGGAATACACGCTGGTCGGGGAGGAGAGAGTGGCGCCAATGGTCGCGTTTCGGGGTTGCGTCCTCGAGGCGGTCATGGACGCGAATGCGGGCACAGAAACTGAAGGCGTCTGGGTGTTCCACGAGGCACTGCCGCGCACGCTGCAGGTCGCAATCACCATGGTCCCGACGACGTGGGACGACATGCTCACAGCGTTGGCTGCCATTCCCCAGCTCACGATCGAAATTGCGGCTGAGGCTCATAGGAAAGCCGCGGCCGTCGAAGCGGATGTTCGACGTGTTGACCGACAGTTTGCGAGCATGAACGTGGGCGGATGCCCTGCACAAGCGCCACCAGCGGGACAGAGGCAGCAGAACGCGCCCCCCCCCCCCCCCGCCAAATCCCCTGCCCGCGAACGCACCGCCGGCGAATGGAGGAGGAGGTGGACGGGGAGATAGGTCGCAGATCCCAGTGGGTACGGACGAGCAGAAGGCGCACCTCCGTCGCATTATGGACGACGCGAACCGCCAGCACCAGCCCAACACCACCAAAGGGCAGGCGCGATACGCGACCCAGATTGTGGGGTGGAACCAGAGAAACGGCAACATCCCCCAGGACTCGCTTGCAATCTGGACGACGGGCTACCCCTTGACGCCGGGGACTGCTCTACTATGACAGTATTTATCGCTGAAAATTATAAGGTTGGGCAATAAGGTTTAGAATGGTATTTTACAGGTCGAAGGTATGAGGTTTATGCAGTATATGAGGTTGAGGTTGAGGTTAAGAACCGAGGTTGCAGTCGATCACAGGTTTTGAGGTGTGAGGTCGCACACTTGACATATGAAGGTTGTATGATGAGATCAAGGTTCAAGGTTGCCATTGATGGTGACGAACTTTTATGTTGAGGTTCAGGTTTGAGGTCGCAGTTGATTTCCCAATTTGGTTGCCATCAACATACCATGGTTTGCCATCAACATACCGCGGTTTGCCATCAACATACCGCGGTTTGCCATCAACATACCATGGTTTACCATCATTATACCATGGTTTCCCACCATTATTCACAGTCGACCATGGTTCCACTAAGATCGCTCTCATTGCACTTTGGGACGATGTCATTCGAGCCAAACCAGTATATAAGTAGTAAGCAGCTCAAGTCTATCTACCTCTTTGCTCCCTCAGAATTATCGTCAAACTCGCTAGTTCGAACCCTATCTGTCTGCACTATCATTCACTGCTCGCCTGACTTGACTCGGGAAACCAATACCAGTATTTTGTCTTCTTATACTCGTCAGTTCTTTGCTCTTTGTTTCCTATCGCTTGCTGAAGCAAATACTTAGAATCGTCAACTCTCGTCCTTTCCTTTGTTTTGTTGTTCTCTTCCCTTTTGATGTGAGTATCATCCTCGCATATGTCATATCCCAGGCTCATGGACCTGATAAAGATTTTATCCTATCGTTGTCGTAAAGTAAGTCTGTGAATTCAGCCAGCCAATTATCAATATCTAACTATTGGCATCGTATAGAATGAGTATCAACCTCGATCCTCAAACTCTTGCCCTCGCAGCCCAATTTCTCCAGCAAATGCGACAAAGCAATCCAGCTGCTTCCCCTCAGGCCCAACCTGCCCAGCAGCCTTCTACCGATGCACCTGCACCACCCATTTCTCCCTATATCACCTCGAGGCCACCTGTCGCCAATCTCCCCCAATCGACTCGGGGCCATCCCAACCTAGCAACATCTGCACCTCCTTTGTTTTCTGGTCGCTCTATTCTCGGAGCATCTTCACTCGCAGTTAGCATGGCTGGGAACACGAACCATGCTCGTCAAGCAGGAGGATCTCGCCTCTCGGATCGCCCAACTCGCACCGAGATTTCGCAGGCCAACACCAGTCGCAACGAGGCAATTGCAGCACATTTTCCTCCCCAGCCCACCCTTCCCTCTCGGATTCGTCGCAGAGGCCGAGCCCCACCTACACCCACTTTGCCTGACGATACTGCACCTGAATCGGTTTTCCAAGTGGACAGCCTCACATCGGAAGAGTTTGTTCACATTGAGTGCCATGTCCATCTCCCGACTGTTGGTCTATTCATTTTACGATCATCTCATTTCCCCTCTAACTAATTCACATGTGTAGGAGCAGCCAAATGCCAGTCTCCACTTGACCCTGAACCTCGCCAGCTCTTTCATATCCGATCTCGACAAAAATGGCTGTCGCTTCATATACCGACTCCGGAGCGACACAACGATCATATCAATAATCAAAACTGTGTCCCAGGACATGGGTCGGTCTGATCGGAAGTGGGAATTCCGAGAGCATTCTCATCATCTTCGCCAGCATTTGAGACGACATGAAACTCTCCACCTCCAACTTCTCGGCCTTGGGAATCGGGGCATCCCTCGACGAAGTGATGGCCTAGTGGGACTTTCTCGACAGCCTGCCGATAGCGACCTCACACTCAGAGGCCTCTTCACTCCTTCGAACTCGCACAAGTACTGCAAACCTCACCTCACCATCCGAGGCAAGCAATTAATTTTGAATTTCGGTATATTATATTACTCTTCACTGGTCTTTTGTCTTACCTTCTTTTGTAGTTGTCGTCCAGTCGGGCATCACAGGACTAGCCAAAATCCCACCCAGACTGACTTCTCACCCTCGTCATCATTCCTGTCTACCTCAGCTTATGCATGCAGTCTATTCTTCTGGGAATGAGACAGGGACGACCTCGTCAGACTGGACTCCACCCACCTGCAAGTCGGGTGGCGAGACTGACGACGACGACGACGACGAAATGGAGGTTGAGGTGGCTTTGGTGGTATGTGAACTTTATTTTGCTCCAGTTTGTTCGTCCAATATAATCTTTACAGGAATCGGATCAGGAAAATCTGCCTTCATCCCCTTCTCTCATACCCAATGTATGCCTCTTTATCATGCTTATACCCAATCTGATTGTTTTCTAGATCACTGTCTTGCCCACCTCGTCTGAGAGGTCATCTAATGAGGTACTAACTTGAATCTCTTCTATGCTATATCGCTCAACATTCACTAGGAATCTTTGCCTTCGCCCTCGTCTTTATCCCAGGCAAGTCTCCCGATTAATCATGACCAGTGGATAAACTGACGAGCTTTGCCACAGTCTGGTCTCTGGGCAACGACTTGGGTACCTTCAACAGGCCAATATAGAGCTCTCTACAATGCTCCCGATTTCGCAAAATCCCTGTTCAAAACAGCAGGTAGCAGCAGTCCCCCGACACGACTTATCATTTCGGGGACAAGCATCTCTGAGA